GTATTTAGGAACTCTCATTTCTCCTTGCTCCTGGTATATCCCTGTAGTGTCTAAATTCTCACTTTAAAGCTTCATTACCCCCTCTCTCTAGTGAACTTTGGTGAGTGTTATCAAGTAATTTTCTTATTTAATGCAACCAAGACAAATCTGATGAAGGAAACAGTGCTACCTTCAGGCTAGCATGGACACCTGCTCTGATAAACAAAGATGATGGTCTTACAACCATCATGCAAAAGGTCCTGCTTCTGGAGGTATAGGATTGTATTTCCTCTGCCTGCCTAGCTTCCAGGGTAAGCTCTGGTCTCCCAGTAAAGGAATTTCTTTCTAAGAAAAAAAGAGTATGCCCCTAAATTGCAGCAGGCCAACTCATCTACATTATTTCTGCTTAAGAACACTTCTCCTAGACATATACTGATGATTCACACCCATAACCCTAGCCATTCAGGAGTCTGAGAGCAGAGGATCTCCGTTCAAAGCTTGCTGGGGCAAGAACTGTCCATGAAACTTTTATTCACCACAAAAGCTAGTAGGAGAGTGGTGGCCCAAGTGGTACAGTACTACCCTTGAGCAAAAGAGCTCAAAGATAGTGCCCAGGCCTGGAGTTCAAGCACTAATACTGGCATGTGTGTGCACATGCTTGCATGTACACACACACACACAGAAAAGTTAGAAGTGGGGCTGTGGCTCAATGGTATAAGTCTAGACTTATGTCAAAAAATTTGCTAAGAGGGCTGGGAAGGTGGCTCAATGGTAGAGCACTTGCCTTGAAAGCATGAGTCCCTGGGTTCAATTCCTCAGCACCACATTAGCAGAAAAGCCAGAAGTAGCGCTGTGGCACAAGTGGTAGAGTGCTAGCCTTGAGCTGAAGAGCTGAAAGACAGCGCCCAGGCCCAGAGTTCAGGCACCACGACTGCCCCCCCAAATAAAATAAAATACATAAATAAAAGAGAAGGGCGAAGACATATTTTAAAAAATTGCTAAGAGACAATGACAAGGCCCAGAGTTCAAGCTTGAACATCAGAACATTTTTTTTAAAGACTGTTTCTAATAAGCTCCAGACATATCTGGTTCTCTTCTTTTTTATGGTACTGAGGTTTGAACTCAGGACCTCATATTTTGAGATATTCACTCTAATATTGAGCCACAGCTTATCAATTTTGCACTGTTTTTGAGTCAGTGTCTCATTTCTTGCTCAGGTGTGCAACTGCATTTCAGTCTTCCTATTTTCCTCTCTTATCACTCCTGGTATAAAAGGTACACACCACTATGCACTGCTTCTTCTGTTGAGATGAGGTCTGCCTGGGTTTAGCTGAAAATACAATTTCCCCAGCCTCAGCCTCCCAAAAAGCTAAATTTATAGGTGCGCATCACTATGCTCAGCATATTGAAGCCCTAGATTAAATCACCAATACAAATATTAAAAGTAAAAATAAATTTAAATGGAAAGACAGTATGACAGTATGATAAGAACAGGAAAAAGGGATGGAGCAATGACCCTGGGCAGCTCCTGAAGTCCAATCTGGAAGCTTTATTTACCAACATTGGGAAATAAAATGAAATTATGTAACAAGACAGGCCTGACTGCTTTTCCTTAGCAACAAGACAGCCCTGCCAGTCTTTCCTCATTTATGCCAGAGCCAAAGGGCTCAGTAGACCATGACTAAAGGAGGAAGTCAGAGATGTATTTGTAAGATGAAAAAGAACAAGCCCTGGGCATGTCTGGAGACCTAAAAAGCCTCTGGAGCCTTAGAACTCTTAGGCCTTTCAGAGAACAGTTTTCAACAGAAACTAAATGTTCAGAAAGAAAGCCAAGATGGGCTCTGAAGTGTGTAGATTCCCTTCTCAAAGAACACACAGACCTCCCAATGACACAATCCTTCCTGCCAACAACAGCCCTTCAGAGTGAGGCTCAGGGAACTGTAAACACACTACCCTTTTCTACCTGCCAGACACCAGCCCATGTCCCGAGGGCACCAGGGCAGCAGGGAGGGAGTGCTCAGCCCTGTAGCAACCCCAGGATGAAGCTCAGAGGACCAGACCTAATCACTTAATGTACTAAGACCTCCTAAGGGTCTAACAGCTGCCAGAAGCTGTCCCCAGCCCTTCAAAAAGATCAAGCTATGATACCCATCTCTACAGCCCAAACTCCCCACCCAGTGTTAGCCCTGTTGAGTGACATGAAAGCCAAGTAGGGCTTTCTGATAAATTCCCTAAATCATCAGGCTCCATGCCATCATCCGGTCACTTGTCCTCTGGTGATAATGCCTCAGGATCATTCAAGACAGAAGCAGCCATCACCTCAACTCCACCTGCCATGGGCAGTTCAGCAAGCCTTTCCCTTTTGATCCCTCAGGAGTTGGCTTTAATTTTGGGATAATCTCACCAACACTATCTCCTAATACCACTGCCCCCCAAGGGGTGACCCCCAACCCTACCAAACAGTCAAACAAGCTGGTGGTGTCCTCTTTGGGGAGGACAGATCAGCCATTCATGAGCCCATTTCCAGGGGCTCCCCTTCCCTCAAAAGCCTTGGAAGGGGCATCTGCTCACTCCAGCAGCAGGCCTGCTACACCTTCCAGGACCACACTGACCACAGCAGCCTCTAGCCAGCTGGCCCACTGCATGTCCAAGTTGGGAGAGCTGCTGTCCCCAAGGTCTTTGGCTGAGGAGATGCCAGGCAGCTTCTTGTGCCTGCAGGTGGGCCAGGTTGAAGACTTTACAAAGCCATCCAGCAAGGTTTCACCTACCAGCCTGTCTAGTGCACAGCTTGGGCTCTGGCTTCCCTGGATCTGCAGTGTTAGGGAACCCACAGATCCCCCTGCCAGAGCCAGCATTGAATTGCCCATAAACAGCACCAAGTGCACCTGGTCCATCTACTGCAATCTTTGGCAGTTTGCCCCTCCCCAGCATGCTACCCTCTGGTGCAACCAGTTTTAGGGGGACATTTCTGGGTAGCAAGCAAGTTTAGCTTTTCATTTGGAAGCCACCAGACTACTAATAGAGGCTCACGTTCTGTCCCCCTGCCAATCTGGACAGCCCTGCCCCTCCCAGCTCCATTGCCACTCTGTGTTTAGGTCCCCCTGAGCTCAGTGTCTGCTCCCTGAACCTGCTCTAATATTCTGGAAAGAGCCCAGAGAAACCCTTGGCATCTGTTGCACCCCAGAAGTCAAGCAACAGTGAGGCATCTGTAGCCCCCAGCCTTGCTCCTAGCGCCGTCACCAATGGGCAGTGACCCCAGGCTCACCATGGACCTCTGACTTGGGTAAAAAAAGAGGCTGTGCTTGTGCCACCCACAGTCAGCAGTCAGCAGTTAAGGCCACTGCAGCAGCTGCTGGGGTTCTGCCATCAATACAGAGGCAGGTGCACCCACATGCAGGCTGACTTTGGAGCAGCTCCTCTTCCAGGTGCAAACCTGGTGGCCACTGAAGCAGAACATGACCATGTAAAAGATCACAGAACACACTAGAAGAACCTGACAAGCAATGGTCCTGTGCTCACAAACCTGACAGAGGCAGGAAATCAGAGAGAGACAGAGACAGAGACAGAGTGGCTAGCTTTGCTTTGTACCTATTTCAATATCCTTGCCAAGAAATGCTTATTTTCATCAAGAAATAAAGAGGAAAACTTCTAACTCTAACTCTAATGGTGTAGTTGGGATCAATCTAGACTTCCTCCCATAAACAATCACAAAAATGGAAGCTATGTGAAAAATAAATATATGCATGTAACTGTGTATATATATATATATGAGTATGTAGGCTTATATATGTTTATAGTAGTATATTCACATATACAATGTGAATATGTAATGTACGTATGCATAATGTATATATGTATAATGTACAGGGAGAAAAAATACATAGTATTTGAAGGAATAATGATCAAAATCTTCCCAATTTTGATTGAAAGCATGAACCCTTCTATGCAGGAATCTACCAGCTCAAAAAAGTCAATCAACATAATTATACACGTCCACACTGACACATTCTAATTAAACAAAGACAGAAAACCTCCCAAACCACAGAGACACAAACCCATCACACAAAAATGATCTTCAATGATATTATGACAAATTTTTCATCAGAAACTAGATTAACTATTAGACAGCAAGGGAAACAAATTTAAAGAGCTAAAAGGATGTATCTACAACCAATCTTTCTAAAATATACATACATATATATTTCCTCCAAAAGTGAGAGATGAGCTAAGTACCTACCTATGGCTCCAGCCTATTATCCTCACTACTCAGGAAGGTGAATTGTGAGGATTGTGGTTCAAAGCCAGCATGGACTTGTCCCCTCAGGAGCAAGTTGTAGGACAAAGCTGTCCTTGAGAAAGGCAGAGGCCTTTGTGCCATGTCATTGCTGAAACAAGATAAAGGATAAGGTAGCAACCGGAGGCTATTGCCTAGTGTCTCCACAGAAGCAATTTATAAGATGCAAGAGTCCTCTAGAAAGTCAGAGGACATTTCACTGTCTTAGTGGTTTCAGAAATGCCATGATAATGACCATAGCAACCTCAAGCCCACCTGAAGTCCTTAGCAACAGTCTTTGAGGCCTAAGAGATAGAGTGTCAATCAATGGTAGTAGGCTGTGATTGGTCTAGTTTTTCCTCTGGCGTCACTGGGCCTGACTCTGATTGGTTCATTTTTCTCCATGATGTCACTAGGCCTGTCTGTGATTGGTCCAGTGTGAGAGGTCCCGCAAGGTGTATAGGAAGCCACTGTGCTCCAACGTTTGTCAGTTAACAGTGCCAGGAGCTCTTGCTTGGTGCCCACTGGACTGACTCTAAGCTAAATTGACGATTTTCTTGGTTGGGGGTGGGGGTGGGTGCTTGGTGCCCACTGGACTGACTCTAAGCTAAATTGACGATTTTCTTGGTTGGGGGTGGGGGTGGGTTGTTGTTTGGATTTGGGTCTTTCTTTTCCCTTTCTCTAGGTGTTCCCTTCTTTTATTTAGTTAATTTTAGGTAGACTTGCTACCCGATATCGTAGCAGAAGGATGGCACAATACAAAGATTCATCCGTAAGCTCCGTGAAGGAGGAGATCATTGAACAATACCAGATGAAAGCGCTCATCGGCCATGGTACCTATGGACAAGTGAAGCAGGCCTATCACCGCCTCACAGACACCAAGGTGGCAGTTAAAATACTCCGGAAGGTTAAGTCCTCCGAACTTCGGATAAAGAATGAGGTGGACATTTTTAAGACGGTAAGGCACAAACACATCATCAGGTTGTACCAGGTGATAGAGAAGGAGGAGTCTGTGTATCTCATCATGGAACTGGCCACTAGAGGACACCTCCTGGCGTGGATCCGAAAATCCAGCCGCCTATGTGAGGATGAAGCCAGGAGGCTCTTCACACAAACTGTAAGTGCTGTTCACTACCTACACCAGAATAAAATTGCACACCGAGATCTTAAGCCCAACAACATCCTGTTGGACAACGAGGGCAATATCAAAGTCAGTGATTTTGGTCTGAGCACCCGGGTCACCTGGGGGCAGTTGGTGACACATGCATGTGGTGCTGTACTATTCCGCCCCCCTGAAATGTTCTTGCTAAAATGTCACGATGGCTGCAAGGTGGATGTCTGGAGCTTAGGTATCCTTTTATATTTTATTATAACGGGAAAGTTCCCTTTTGAGGGTAGGGATGCGATCCAGGTACGGTCACAAGTCCTGAAGGGCAGGTATGGGATTCCATATCACCTGTCTGCAAAAGGACAAAATCTATTATGCCAACTGTTAAGTGTGGACCCGAACCAGAGGCCCAACACTGAACAAATAATGGAGCACCCATGGCTCACACCCTTTAAGGAATGTTTAGTGTGTGCAAATGAGCCATGGCCTAACAAGCTGGACCCCATCATTCTTAGAGTAATGTGTGACATGGGATACCACCCCTGTGATATCCAGCGATCTATAAAGGATAGAACATTCAATGAGGCCATGGGCACGTACCTTTTAGTGAAAGAAAAGCAAAATCAGACTGACAGCAGTATCAACTTGAAAAAAGTGCCCCCAACTGTGCCTCCATGCCCAACTCCTGCAGAACTTTCCAACTTCCGTGTCCCTATAAAGAGGAGAGCCAGTTTACCTGCCAGGCTTACTTCCACCTTGTCACCGGAATTTCAATCACTTTCTGTTGACAAACAGTTGCCTCACAAGAGAGGCCTAAGTGCCACTCTTCCTGCCATTCCCCTCTGCTTCCTGCAGAGGGACCACAGTGCCAGCATAGACCCAGGCCAGGATTCTGTGGTTTCCCTTGGCTGCTCTTTCTTCATAAGCAGCAGTGAAAGATTTCCCCCTGAACAGCCACATGATGAGACCATAACCTCTAAGGTGAAGAAGAGATCACGCTGGAGGAGGGTAGCTAGCAGGATAGCCACAATTTTTCACAGAATATGCTTCTGTATGCGGGCCCCAAAGTAATGTCCACAGCTTAGGAACAAAGTTCTACCAGGGAACAATTGAAAGCCATGGGACTCAGGGCTTCATGGAGACTCTCATTGGGTGTGGAAGATCAGGAGGCAGAGGCTTGGATACAAAGAGCTGCAGGAGGGAGTCATGCAGGAAGTTCACACTGCAGAGGCTTCAGGCTAGCACAGCTGGGTAGTTTGCATGTGCTTTGGGACTCTCAGGGTGAAATTCCAGTCAAAGGATTTCTGACAGTGAATTTCCAAAGCTAAAAGGTCAGCTGAAAGGAGGCCTGAAGCTGCCTTTACCTTCTGAGTTGGGGATTCCAGCTTGAACTCCTACTTACACACAACACCACTTAACAACCCTTAATAATTTTCCCTGTCTCATTTCACTGTCTCAAGCATGGACAGTGGTTTTAGTTAAGTGCTGCATTACTCTAAATATTGGAATCAACATACTTAAGGTGAGTCTTAGTATTATTCAAAAGGTGGTGTAGGGCTGGGAAGGTGACTCTGTGGTACAGTGCTTGCCTTGCATGCATGAGGCCCTGGGTTTGATTCTTCAACACCACATAAGCAAGAAGAAAAAAGCCAAAAGTGGCACTATGGCTCAAGTGGTAGAGCTCTAACCTTGAGCTGAAGCGCTGAGGGACAGTGCCCAGGCCAAGAGTTCAGACCCCAGGACCGGACCCAAACAAAAAAGAAAAGATGGTGTAACATTTAGTGTATTCCTTTCCGATCAAGGATTTACTTTCTCAGACTATGCATCTTGGGAGATTGCAACCCATTTAGTTAAAGAAAGGAAGAATGGTGGGAGGAATGTTTCTGGCTCTTACTGATTTTCAGGTTTACTTCTGGTTCTTTCTCTGTAACTAGAGACAAACTGGACAGAATCTATACTGGGATGTGGGGTGTAAACAGCTGCAGGAGGAAATTATGCAGTAAGTTTATACTGATGTATTCTTAGCACACCCATCAAAGGCCTGTGGATGCTCTTTCTTCCAAGAGAGTGATCAAATAGAGAGCTGTCCACTAGAAGAAAATGCTCTACCCTCTGAGCAGACTCATAATGATACCAATGACTAGTTTGAGGAGGAGATGGGGGAGCATAGGGTGGCTAGCAAAATAGCTACCACTCTTCTCAGAATAAGCTGCTGAATGTGGGCCTAGGAACAGAGCAGTTCCAGACAAAGGAGTGGAGAGCCCTAAGAGCCAAGAAAGACAACCTCACTTGAAAGCCAGAAGGCCCTGTTATTGGGATGGGAGAGATTTTTAAGGGGTCTACTAAAAATGGGTTGTAAGTGGGAACAATGAATGGAGAGCAAAACACTGTATGCCCAGAAGTGCCCTTAGTCCAGCCCAGAAGACAGGTGCATCAAATGCTCTAGGTTTCCCCAGGAGGGATTCCAGCCAAGGGGCACCTAGTACAGTGCTGATAAACTGAACATTGTACTTTTTTTTTGTTTTTGTTTGTTTTTTTGGGGGGGTCCAGTCACGGGGTCTGAACTCTGGAACTGGGCACTGTTCCTTAGCTCTTCAGCTTAAGGCTAGAGCTTTACCACTTGAGCCACAGCCCTACTTCCGGCTTTTATCTTTTTGCTTATGTGGTGCTGAAGAATCGAACCCAGGACCTCAGGCATGCAAGGCAAGCGCTCTACCACTGAGCCACCTTCACAGCCCCTGAACATTGTAGTTATTAAAGCATCTAATTTTTGTGCATCGTATTGGTTTCTTGCATATGCAAAACTACTTGAATTACACTTGAACTACACCCTAGTCTTTAAAAATGTAGTTTGATTTATTTTATTCTAGTCTTTGATATTGTTTAAGATGCAGTCTCATTATGGAGCCAATACTGATCTTAATTACAGAATTCTACTTCTAGTCTCCCAAGTGTGGGATTAAGATGTGCACCTCCATGTGGTCCATCATACTATTATCTGCACTTTTACTTAAATTTTAATGCTTTAAAGTATTTTATCTCTTGGAAGTCCTGGGGTTTTGATTCAGAGCCTGGTGCTGGACAAGCAAGTGCTCTACCCATTGACCCATGCCCCCAGCCCTTGCTCTTCATTATACTTTAGATGAGGTCTTATTGTTTCATTTTGTTTGGGTCATCATCAGACTTCCTGCTAGGAAGCTGGCACCTACCTAAGATAGTTCAAACCCTTATTTTAAAAGAGTGAAAATGCATATAATCTCTAAAATTTATCCCTAGAGAAAAAAGACTACCAGAAGAAATGATTTTGGAGGCTGGAGAAGTGGCACAGGGTATTGTTCTCTGTTCAGCTCTAGCTAATGCTACGTAGTTCCAGGCCTGCACGGCCTAAATAAAAACAAGTAACAAGTAAAATACGATCCATTAGAGCACAGATGTGGAAGATTTGGAATACTCTTGTACATTTTATTGACCATTTGTACATTTCTGTGCTGATGGAAAATGATATAGCTATTATGGTAGAATTTGACACATTCTTCTAACATAACATACCATTACCACATGACCCAGCAATTCCATTCTATTTAAGAGTAGCACTCTACCACATGTGCCAGAGCACAGCTAGTGGCATATTTTTTTGTGACAAATGAGACATAAGAGTATCTGGGCAAAATAAAAAAGAGTCTCATGGATTCTCTGACCTGGGCTGGCCTCCAACCGTGATCCTCAGATTTCATCCTCCTGAGTAGCTGACTGAACATTGGTGAGCCACCAATGCTTGATTTATTTAAACCTCTATCATTGGCTCTTCCTTTTGTACTTCTACCCTCCTTTTCTTTATTTTAATTCTTTTGTGATTGTCCTGGGGCTTCAACTCAGGAACTGGGTGCTGTCCCAGAAAGTGATTGCCTAATTCTGTCACTTGAGCCACAGCTCAATTCCCAGCTTTTCTTTTCTTTTGATGATTAATTGGAGATAAGAGTCTGAGGCAAAGCCTAGCATGAATCAGGTGGCTGAAATCTGAGGATCACGGTTCAGAGCCAGCCTGGGCAGGACAGTCCATGAGACTTGGACCTCCAATTAACCACTGAAAAGCTGCGAGTGGTAGAGCTCTAACCTTGAACAAAGCAGCACAAGTTCAAGGATGGCACACAAAAGCTGCAGAATGGCACACAAACACACACACACACACACACACACACACACACACACACACAGATAGTCCATGAGACTTTCTGTGGGTTAGCTTTTCTAGGGTTAGCTTTGAACTGTGATCCTCAGATTTCAGTCTCTCTTCTTCCACTCTCTTTTGTATTTATTGTTTTTTATTTGTAATTTCTAGTGGTTCTGCAGCTTGACCTCTGGCTCACGTAGATGTTTCTTAGCTTTTTCACTCAAGGGTGGTGCTTTACCACCTCAGCCACAGTTCAAGGCTTTGTGCTAGGTAACTGGCATAAGAGTTTCAATCACGTTTCTGCCCAGGCTGACTTGATACCACAAACCTCAGATGTCAGCATCTTGTGTAGTTAGGCTTATACACACGACCACCAACCCTTGTGTCATTTTAAAACTTTACTATGTGCTTGCTACCACCTTCTTTTGCTTGCTTTTTCATTTTTTGCATGTGTACATGGTTCCTGGGTCTACAAATTGGGGCTCAAATGTTGTCCCAGAAGTTTTTATTCAAGGGTATCCTCTATTACATGAGATATATCATACTTTTTGGCCTTTTGGGAGAGTGATTAATTAGAGATGAGTTTCATGGACTCTCCTGCCTAGGCTGTCCATGAAGCATCATCCTCAGATTTCAGCCTCCTGAATAACCAGTAGAGTATGTGTGAGCCACCAATGTTTGAGTCATTTAAACCTCGGTCACTTGCTCTTTGTTAGTTACTTCTATTCTTCTTTATTTCTTCTGTGTGTGTCCTAGGGCTTGAACTCAGGGTCTGGGTGCAGTCCCAGAAAATATTTGCCCAGTTCTGCTACTTGAGCCACAGCTCAACTTCCAACTGAATCAGGTGGCTGAAATCTGAGGACCGTGATTCAAAGCCAGCCTGGGCAGGAAAGTCCATGAGACTCTTTATCTCTAGTTCACTACCCCAAAGCTGGGAATGCTAGAGCTCTAGGCAAATGATGGTACACAAGCACACACATCATACATACAAACACATACCCACACACAAACATACACACATAAACACACATACACACAAAGTCTCCTGGGCTTTCCTTCTTGTGCTGGCCTTGAAACTTGATCCTCAGATTTCAGTATCCTGAGTAGGACTACAGCCATGATCAACAAGTACCAGGCTTATGTTTAAATTTGCAGTTGACCTTTCTTCACCTACAGTTTGTGTGTGTGTGTGTGTGTGTGTGTGTGTGTGTGTTTTGTTTTGTTTTGGTAGCACTCGGCATTGATCTCTGAGTCAGCAAACAGTTATTTTTAGCTTTATCACCAGATACAGTGCTTTACAACTGTAATCATATTTACACTTCCAGCTTTTTGCTGGGTATTGGGGATAAGAGTTTCATGTACTTTCCTGCCCAGTCTTGCTTTGAACATGACTAACTAGAAATACACCCATAGCTCATTTTGAAACTTTAGTTTTCTCTTTTTCTCATCTTTTTTTTTGTGTTTATTTGAAATGTGTTTGCTGGTCCTAGTACTTCAACTTAGGGTGTAGGTACTGTCCCAAGCTTTCTGTTTAAGACTAGCACTCAACCGCATAAGCCAGAGTACAGCTTGTAGTTTATTTTTGGTGACAAATTAGACATACAAGTCTCACGGACTCTCCTTCCTGGGCTGACCCTGAACCATGATCCTTAGATTTCATCCTCCTGAGTAACTGGTATAACATATGTGAGCCATCAATGTTTGATTCATTTCAACCTCTGTCACTGATTTTTCCTTTTGTCTTTCTACCCTCTTTTTCTTTTATTTCTTCTGTACTTGTCCTGCAGCTTGAACTCAGGGCCTGGGTGTTGTCCCAGAAATTTTTTCCCAGTTCTGCCACTTGAACCACAGCTCAACCCCAAGTTTTTTTGTTTTGTTTTGTTTTGGGAGGTTAATTGGAGATAAGAATATCATGCAGAGCCAGAGTAGATTCATGAGGCTGAAATCTGAAGATCAAGGTTTGTAGTCAGCCTGGGCAGGAAAGTAGATGATATCTCCAATTAACCACTAAAAAGCTGAAATTAGTAGAGCCTTGAGCAAAGTTCAAGTTCAAGCAACAGGACTCACAGAGAGACACACACAAACACATACACAGACACACACACATTATGGACTTTCCTACTGGGTCTGGCCTTTAAACACTATCCTCAGATTTTGCCTCCTGAGTAGTTAGAATTACAGATATGAACCATCCATGGTTGGCTTATTGAAACCTCTGTTATTCCTCTCTTCTTGTACCCTCCTTTGCATTTATTTACTTTATTCTTTTTGTGTATGCTTGTCCTGGAGCTAGAGTTCATGCAAGGCCTGGCCTGATTCAGGAGGCTGATTTCTGGACTTCCCTGCTAGGGTTGGCCTTTACACTGGATCCTCATATTTCTGCCTCCCAAGTTTGTAGAATTACAGGCATGAGTCATCACCCCAGGGTCTCTTCTCCTAACCTTTTATTGTGATCCTGAGGCTGAATCTCTGAGCCAGGGCATGGTTTCATAGCTTTCTCACTCAAGGCTGGTGATTTACAACTTCAATCACAGCTTCACTTCTGTTTTCTTGTTTGTTTGTTTTGCTGGTTATTTGGAGATGAGAGTACACAAACCTCAGATTGCTTCTATCTTAGTAGCTAGGATTATACACGCGAACTAAAAACACATGGCTCATTTTCAAAATTTTCTTACACAATTTTTAAATTTCTATTTAAATTTCCTTAGGTATGCTGGTCCTGGGACTTTAAATCAGAGCCTAGGTACTCTCCCAGAGGTTTTTTTTGTTTTGTTTTGTTTTGGAGCAGCACTCTAATATATGAGCCATAGCACAATTTTTTTTTTTTTTTTTTTACTGTTGTTGGCTAATTAGAGATGAGTCCATGGACTCTCCTGCCTGCGCTGGCCTTGAACTGTGATCCTCAGATGTGCGACTCCTGAGTAACTGCAATCACAGGTGTGTGCTACCTATGCTTTGCTCATTTTAACCTCTGAAATTGGCTCCTTTATTAATTTGATTCTTGTTGTGTGTGCTGGTACTGGAGCTTGATCTCAAGGTGGAGTGCTGTCGCAGAAATTCTTTTCTCATTTCTGTCATTGGAGCCACAGCTCAACCTCCAGCTGTTTTTGTTTTCGTTTTGGTGGTTAATTGAAGAAAAGAGACTTATGCAAAGCCCAGAATGACTCAGGAAGCTGAAATCTGAGGATTACAGTTTGAAGCCGGCCTGTACAAGAAATTGCATGATAGTCTTATCCAATTAGCTGGGAGTGATCCTGCCAAAAAGCTGCTAGTGATCGAACTCCAGCCTTGAGCAAAGTAGAACAAATTCAAACCCCATGACTGGCACACACAGAAAAAAAAAACCTCCTGGACTTCCCTGCTTGGGCTGGCCTTTAACTGGTACTTTCTGACTTCAGCCTCCTGTAGAGCTAATTCAACATGTGTAAGCCACCAATGGTTGATTCATTTAAAACTCTGTCAGTGGCAACTCCTTCTCTTCTTCTACACTTCTTTATTTCTTTTGTGCTGGTCCTCAGGCTTGAACTCAGGGCTTAGGTGCTATCCTACTGATTGCACAATTTTCAGCTTGAGCCACAGCTCAATTTTCCGCTTTTTTTTTTTTTTGGGTGGTTAATTGGAGATAAGAATCTCATGCAAAGCCCACCATGACTCAACAGGCTGAAATGCAAGGATCATGGTTCAAAGCCAGTCCAGGCAGGAAAGTCTATGAGACTCTTAGCAGTAAGTAACCACTGAAAAGCTATGCGTAACAGAACTCTATTCTTGAACAAAGTGGCACAAGTTCAAGCCCCAGGATGCACCCACACAGTCTTATAGACTTTCTTGTTGGGTTAGCTTTGAACCATGATCCTCAGATTTCAGTCCCTTCTCTCCCATTCTTCTTTGTATTTCTTTACTGTTTGTGATTTTTAGTGGTCCTGTGGCTTGACCTCTGACCATTTCTTAGCTTTTTCACTCAAGGCTGGTACTTAACCTCCTCAGCCACAGCTCCATTTCCAGCTTTGTGCTTTATAGTCTGAGTCTCATGCGCTTGCCTAACCACAGGACTTCAAACTGCAATCCTCAGATGTCAGCCTTTTGTTGTAAGTAGGATTATACACATGACCAACAACACTTGCCTCATTTTAAAACTGTAATATGTGCTTCCTTCCACTTTCTTTTGTTGACTTTTTGCTTTTTTTGCGTGTGTACACTGGTACTGGACTACAAAGTGGGGCTCAGGTGCTGTCCCAGCTTTTAGTTCAAGACTAGTGCTCTGTTACATGAGACATACCATAACTTGTGGCTTTTTGTGTGTAGGTGGTTAATTAGAGATTTTAAGAGTCCCATGGACTCTGCTGTCTGGGTTGGCCCTTAAGCATGAGCTAGAAGCTATTCAGCCTCCTGAATAGCTACTTGAGCATGTGTGAGCCACCACTGAGATTGATTCACTTAAAACTCTGTCATAGCTCCATTTCCAGCTTCTTTCTTTCTTTTTGGTGATTAATTGGAGATAAAAGTATTATACAGAGATCAGCCAGACTCAGGAAGCTGAAATCTGAGGTTTGCGGTTTAAGGCCAATTGAGGCAGAAAAGTCTGTGAGACTTTTATCTCCAAATAACTATCCAAAAACTGGGAGTAGGGCCGCTATAGCAGTCATCATAACAGGAATGAGAGGAGCCTTGGAGAACAGTGTCTCATGGGAATCTGAGAAATGGAGATTGCTGTTCAAAGCCAGCTCTATCTGGAAATCCAGGGGATGGCCTGGGAGGGACCCTTTCTGGTTTCCTTGACCACAGAAACTGCTGTTTGGACTACTGAAAAGAGTTGGACTGACTATATTAAAGTAAAGGAAACTCGATTCTAACTCCTTACCAGGAGAACAATGAAATGTCATCGCACACCCCAGGAAGGACCAAGTTAAGTATAAAAGCGGTAATGTATTCTGTCTGATTCCCCAGATCATATCTTTGGTAACCCTTTGGGAGGTGCCTAGGAAAGTCACAGGTTCAGGGGGCGCAGGTGGCTCACGCTTTGTAATCCTAGTTAACAGTCGGCTGAGATCTGAGGAGCCCAATTCACAGCCAGCTCTGGCATGAAAGTCCGTGAGACTCTTATGTCTAATAATCCACTTAGAAAACCGGAAGTGGCACTGTGGCTCAAGTAGTGGAGCGCTAGCCTTGAGCTGAAGAGCTGAAGGACAGCGCCCAGGCCCAGAGTTCAGGCCCCACGACTGATTAAAAAAAAGAAAAGGCAAGGGTTCAAGTCCCATTGGTCATTCATGTTACTATAAGGGAGTACCCTCAAAGCATCGAGTTTGATGTATGCCAAACCATGCACTTCAAAAATGTAGAAAATCAGAGGATATAACCTGCACCCCACAGGAGGTGGCGCGAGCCAGAAAGGTGCTTCTCCACGAGTGGATATACGGCTGCAGACACCAACAGGGAGCTTCCTGCACGGATGCTTCCCCAGCATTCAACTTTGCAGGGGCCCAGGACAGTCGTCCGGAGGCAGCACTGCGCACCGGTCAGGGTGGCCTGGGTGGGAGAGGCATAAAGGCGGTGCCGGTGACTGATTGGCTTAGGGACCCATGGGCGTGGCCAAGGGGCGGGAAGAGGAAAAAGGGAGGAGCGCAAGAGCTGGCGCTGAGCGCAGTCCAGGAGTGGTGGAGACTATGACCACGCTGCGAAGGCTTCGAGAGGCGCCCCGGCACTTGCTAGTCTGCGAGAGATCCAACTTCAGCCACCACAAGTCACGCCACCGGCATCTAGTGGAGGCGCACTATCACAATTACCGGGTGAGCCGGCGTCCTCCGTGCACGCTAAGGCCGCGACAGGGTTTGGGGAAACGTCTCACCACGCTTCGCGTGGCGGTAGTCTCCCTGTCGGTGAGGGGCGGGCCATCACTAGGCATCCTGGGAGTTGTAGTCTCCGCGGTGCTCTGGCCCCGTAGAGCTCTGCAGTGCAGGACTACAACTCCCAGGATGCCCTGCTGCAGGACTCCTTTGAGATAAGACCGCGCAGAGCCTGGTGGTTGTTGTCCAAAGCGCGGCTTAACTTCTAACGGGTCCCAGCAGCCGGAATATTGTTTCTGAGAGCCCTGCGAGGGGCTGGACGGGGACGGGGCAGTTGGGCAGCTGTGCCTGTCCTGAGGTGCAGCTGTCCACATGAAATCGGCTGGTGTCTCGCGCCCCCTTCCCGCCTCAGTGTCCTCCCACAGCCCGGTTCCCTCTGTGGCCAGCTGGTCTACCCCCGCCTCTTCCCAGCCCCTCGTCCTGCCCTGGCTCAAGAAGCCACCTGCTTTGCTAACCCGTTGATGGGAGCCGATTTGATAATCGAGAAATTCCCCAAACCTAACTAAGATGGCACGAGTTTAAGCATTTTATATTTGAAGTTGGTTAGTTTGATATGTCCCAGACATTAAGTAACCCGCTCCCTCAGAAACACATTGGTGTTGGTGTTGGAGCTTTAAGGCTGGGCCTCAGTGTGAGCACTTGAGCAACAGCTGGAATCTGCTGCTATTTCAGGTTGTTGGTTTGCTTGTAAAGCTCATCTCAGTCAGTAGGTCGAGTTGTTTTGCCCTAAAAGGTCTGGACTGGCCTGTGGCATCTCTAGAACATTGAACCCTGCAGGAGCCCTTTGCTCTCTGAGGAGCGTATTAATAATTGAGAGTTCCTAAATTCCCTGTGCTCCTTGGACTCCAGGGTAAACCTGCAATAATCTCTTCCATTGTATTTCTTTGAAAACAAAGTAGCAAGAGAAACAGAACCTGAAGTATATTGCTCATGTGCAAAAGGTAAAATGCAAGCATGATCTTTCCATTAAAATGTTTCTTCTTTGTACCCTAGGTTGCCATGAAGAAGTGAACTGCTTGAGTTGTTCAATTTCTCTTTGCCTGAGATTGATCTGTTAAGAGGTGTGTTGCCTCTGTGTGTCCAGCAATACTTGTGAAGAAATAGTGCACCATTCACTCCCATAAATCCGATGCTAATCTTTATGAAAATAAGACCTATTGTATTAATAAATGTACCACTTGAGCCAAACCTCCATGTTTGGTGTTTAAATGGAGATTAACAGTCATATGAACTTTCTTGCCTGGACTGGCTTTGCACTGTGATCCTTTGAACTGTGATAGCAGTCTTTTGAGTAGGTAGGATAATAGTCATGAACCACCAGTGCTAACACCCTTGTTTGGAAAGGATCTGTAGTCCTGTGTATATCACTCTGTGTCCTTCATTTTCTCAGTCCTGCCATTTGCTTCAGTCTCGTTAAGTGGTAGTTTATTATTTCAATGTCCTGAGAATGTCCTTAGATTTTGTGTTCCTGACCTTGTTCTGTTTCCCTCAGTCCCAATTGTATCTGCTGTACCGACTAGTTGCAGTTGTTTTCTTGGAGTCATCGTTTGAAGTTGTATTTCAGAGTGTCTGTAGGGATTCTACCCTCCCCTCAGAAGCCATTCACTATGGAGCTACACTGTTGTAGCTTCCTGTTTGTGAAGTCTGGTTACTATATCACTGCTCTCTCTGGGGCTACATGTGAAGCTGGACATGTCATCTGTTTGCATCAGCATTTTTCCCTGTAAAGTCTGAGGTTATTTTGTTCATGGCATGGACACTTTGTGGCAGGCCTTTTTCAACATCTCACATCCTATATCTGAATGGTAAGCCCATGGTCCCTGTATAACATCTGGAAGAAAAGTTGAATAGCTTTTGATTATTAGCCTAGAACTGTTCTGAGGAGTGCCTGCTCTTTTTCTTGGTGTCTTTCTGCTAACCCCCCGTGGAGACTAAGTTCCATTCTATGTTATTTTTCTGCCTGAAATTAGAAACCTTGATGGAGGGGAGTGAGCTGGCTGGAGCTCAGCCTTCCATGTCTTCCAGCTTCCCTTGTGTGTGTTGGTCACTGAGTTATGTGGGGTGTGGTGGCTGGAAGATCTGTCCTCATGAAATTAATGACTTAACTTGTGATGTCTTCTGTGTTTTAATTGTTCCTCCTAACTTTCTCTTACAGGTTCCTGCAATGCCTGATGCTCAATACAAATATTGATGAAGATAATACTGTTGATCTGCTACTCAATGGTAATTGTTTTCTTTTTCCCTTTGGTTATAAAAAAATGCATTCTGTAATACCAACAATACCACTCACGAATTCATCCAAAAGATTACAAATGAGAATATAGTAAAGCCACTTGCACAGTCATGTTCATTGTTGGACTATGTACCATAGCCAAGGATGGAATCAGCCACGGTGCCCCTCAGTGGATGAACGGATCCAGAAAATGTGGTCTATATACACAGTGGAATTTTACTCATCTATTAGGAAGAATGTATTATATCACTTGAAGGAGAAATGGATAGACCTGGGAAGGAATTAAGTGAAGTAAGTCAGAAGCAGAGAGACAAAGTATGCATGTTTTCTCTCCTCTGTGGAAGCTAGGACTAATTTAGAAATGTTACAAATATACACAAGTGGAGATGTATGCAAGTGTACACAAATTTATTAGCTGAAGTGTGCTATTTGCAAGGGAGAATTCATTTCACCAGTATAATTCCTTAGAAAAACAAATCCAGCCAAATGCATACCAAGAAATTGAAAGCTATATGTAAGAAGGTCAGAAGGAGGAGGACAGTGTACTTATTCAATGCATATCATATGAAATTAAGAAAGAAGCCAGGAGTTGAGTTGAGAGGGAAGAAGAGAATGATGAAAGGGGAGATATTGATCAAGATGAATTGTACTTATGAGCTAATTTGTTGAATGATAACTCCTTTGTAGAATTACCTAGTGAAAACACAAAATATTTGTTTAAAAAGATCCAACAATATAGATCTATACAGAGTAAAGTGATGGTCTCTAGTTCCTCCTAACTCATTCTATTCTTAGAATGAACAGTTTGATGTTAATTCTCCCAGCATGTTCTATGACTTTATCAACATGTAGAAATCTTTTTATACATAAAGTACATTGTGCTACACTGTTTTTCATTGTTCTTTTTTCCTGAGTTACACATCATAGGTATCTTTCCATATCAATACATGGAGTTCTCACAATTTTTTTGCTTTGTTTTTTGAGGCAGGATGTTACCATGTAGCCCAGGCGGGCCTGGAACTTACCTCAACTGCCTTGAACTCCAGATCTCTTGGCTTAGCTTCTGTAGTGCTGGACCAATAGTCATGTGTCACCACACATGATTGTAACTTATAGTGTTTAGTGTTTTAAAGATATTTGAGGGCCAGTTATGTTAGAGCATACCTATAATCTCAGCTACCCAGGAGGTAGAGATGGAGAGCTTTAAGATTTGAGTCTAGCATGCATAGAAGTTAGTCTCATCTCAACAAACTGATGTGGTTCATGTCAATAAACTCAACTGCCCAGGATTCAAACATAGAAGGATCATTGTCCAAGGCTGAACAAAAAGCAAGATCTTATTTGGAATATCTCTCAAGCAGCCAGGTGCTGGTGGCTCATGCCTGTAATCTTAACTTCTCAAGAGGCTGAGATCTGAGTATTGTGGCTGAAAGGCATCGTGGGCAGGAAAGTGCATTAGATTCTATTTTTTTGGTCAGTCGAGGGGCTTGAACTCTGGGCCTAGGTGCTGTCCCTGAGATCTTTAGACCAAGGTGAGCACTTTCTCACTTGAGCTATGATGCCACTTCTGGTTTTCTGGTGGTTAATTGGAGATAAGAATCTCAGACTTTTGTGTCCAGGCAGGCTTTGAATTGTGATCCTCAGATCTCAGCCTCCTTAGTAGCTAGGATTAGAGGCATGAGCCACTGGCATCTGATTTCAGGAAACTCTGTTCTCCACTTAACCATCAGAAAACCAGAAGTGGCATTGTCACTGAAAGAAGTAGAATGATAGCCTTGAGTGGAAGAGCTCAGGAACAGTGCCGTGCCCTGAGTTCAAAGCCCCATGACAGGAAGAAAAAAAGAAGCCGGGCGCTGGTGATTCACGCCTATAATCCTAGCTACTCAGGAGGCTGAGATCTGAGGATCTCGGTTCAAAGCCAGCCCAGGCAGGAAAGTTCGTGAGACTCTTACCTCTAATAAACTGCTAGAAATCCAAAAGTGGTGCTGTGGCTCAAGAGGTAGAGGGCTTGCCTTGAGCTGAAGAGTGCAGGGGCAGCGCCCAAGCCCAGAGTTCAAGCCCCACGACCACCAAAAAATTAAAAAGAAAGGAAGGAAGGAAGGCAAGAAAGAAAGAATGAAAAAGGAAGGAAGGTAGGAAGGAAGGAAAATTAAAGCAAAAAAGGGTCTGGTCCATGTTTTAGGTGATAGAAGGTTTGTGCTCAAACCCCAGTACTGGCAAAGGACAAACAATATTTCAAATAATTTCTTCTTTAATAGAAATTTAGATAATTTCTAATTATACTGCTCTTAATAATACTGATGCATGTATATAAGTAAATACCTATGTATGTACCTACATATAAATGTTCTGTGTGTTATAAATCAGTTCCTCACATTTGGATAGTTATGCTGATAGCAGGGAAGTTTTCACATCTCTCTTATGGGAACTTCTCTTTGTTTTATAGGAAAGTTGATTTTATCCCTGGATAAAGACACTTATGAAGAAACTGGACTTCAAGGTCATCCCTCTCAGTATTCTGGCAGAAAAATCAGGAAGTTCAGTGAGTATTCTCCCCAGTCTGGCAGTGCTCCCAAGCTGTCATCCTCCCATAGCAGGACAGTCGGGGTTAGGACCCCTCTGACCTTAGTTCTTGCCAGTGAAAGTGGGACTTGAGCTGCTGCAGATTGGACTTCACAGAGGGAAACAGAGACTGCTGTGGAATCAACTTCTCTTCAGCTTCAGCTGCTATGTTTTGTGTTTTTTTTTCAAACCTCAGTAATTTGAACTAAGGACCTAGGCACTGTGTTTAGTTTTTTTTCTCAAGGCTGGTGCTGTATCACTTGAGCCAAAGCTCCACTTTCACATTTTTTGGTAGATTATTGGAGATAAGATTCTCACAAACTTTTTAACCTGAGCCAGCTTTCAACTGATTTTCAGATCTCAGCTTCTTGAGTAGCTAGATTGTGAGCCACTGACAGTCCAACCTAACAATTGGTTGTTTATAAAGAATTCCTTTAGTTTTCCTAAGTCTTTGGGTCAGCTGACTACCCAGTGTGGATAGCAGTGGTTAAAGCTGCTGCATCCACAGTGGATTCAGGGGACCCCTGTTCTAGTTCTTTGACCTGGGAAAGATAATCTTAAAATACTTGTTGACAGCTCTTATTCTAGATATACCCACTGCAAAGATAGTTTTGACTTGATTAACCGAAGAGCAACATCATTTTCAGTATAATAAACTTTGTAAAAATGTGGACATAGGCTGGGAAGGTGGCTCAACGGTAGAGTGCTTGCCTTGCAGGCATGAGGCCCTGGGTTTGATTCCTTAGTACCTCATAAGCAGAAGAAGCCAGAAGTGGTGCTGTGGCTCAAGTAGTAGAGTCCTAGCCTTGAGCTAGAGAGCTGAGTTCAGGTCCCACTACGGGCAAAAAAAAAAAAAAATTTGCACAGTATTTGTACTGGAATTAAGTATCCATTTTTTTCTGTTTTTAAGTTGTTTCCAATGATTTGATGGATTCATCTTTTATATTAGAGTCTATGAAGTATAAAAGAACATGTTGGTCCTTCAAAGAAAAGGCTTTGACGTTTGATTTCCTTTTGGCTTGGCATTGTGCAGGTATGAAGAATAACTATTTGTAATGTTATATCTTTTTTTTTTTTGTCACTCATGGGGGCTGAGCCCTGGGCCTTGGCAGTGTTCCTCAGCCCTCTAGCTTAAGGCCAGAGCCCTACCTCTTGAGGCACAGCACCTGGCTTTATTTTTCTGCTTATGTAGCTGAGGAGGCAAACCCAGGGCCTCATGCATGCAAGGCAAGCACTCTACTACTGAGCCACCTTCCCAGCCCTGATACATTGATGTGTGTGTGTGTGTGTGTGTGCACGTGTGCTTGCCTGCGTGCCAATAGCAGAGCTTGTACTCAGGGACTCATGATCTCACTGAACCATTTTTTGCTCAAGACTGGTGCTCTGCCTCTTGAGTCACAGCTCCATTTCTGGCTTATTGATAGTTAATTGAAGATAAGAGTTTCATAGACTTTTCTGTCTAGGCAGGTTTGAAACCTCAGTCTTCAAATCTTAGCCTCCTGAATAGCTAAAATTTCAGGCATGAGCCTATGTCTTCTGGCTCTCGATATAATGATGATTTTAAAGGCTAATTACTAAATGTTGATTTTTTTTTTTGTCGGTTGTGGGGCTTGAACTCTGGGCCTGGGCACTGTCCCTCAGCTCAAGGCTAGCGCTCTACCACTTGAGCCACAGCGCCACTTCTGGCTTTTTTCTTTTTGCTTATGTGGTGCTGAGGAATCGAACCCAGGGCCTCATGCATGCAAGGCAAGCGCTCTACCACTAAGCCACCTTCCCAGCCCTAAATGTTGATTTTTGATTCATCACTTTACTGAAGGGCATTTTGTTCAAACATTATTTAAAAAGCTGCTTCAGCTCTTCTCTTGGGCTTAGAACCATGGTTGAGAATAAGCTAGGTCTGAAACCATTTGCCTAAAACTTTGTGGCTTCCCTGTAGATTCAGACAGAGATCCTGTGACGAAGTTTAGAGCAGGCAGCTTTCCCCCATTTCTTCCCTTCTTTTCCTCTGTTTCACCTTCAATTCGTGGCCAGAATGTTTCACATGACCACTAGTTATGGAGGCATGTGTGATCTGTTTGCTCATTGCTAGTAGGCAGTAACACAGCTGTACATTAAGTTTCATTTCAAACTTGTAACTTGTGGTTGACTACAATTTAGTTCAAATTTTGATGTCCATTAGGTTTGTTCATTACATTTGTTAATCTGCTTCCCATTGCTCCTATCTAAACATTGTGTCTTTGGGCAGCTACACAATTCTAATGGCCCAGTCATGAGGAAGTATAATGGTGCAGTGCTCTTGTTTGGGGGGTGGGGAAGCATGTGGCTCTACTGTGGAGATGTTCACATCCTTCTGCTCCTTGTGGGAAACTTTTGGTCACAGCCAAGCAAGGTTGCTTCCCTAGATCCTAGTTCAGTGAAGATCCGTGTCTTTTGGTGAAGTTGAGGGAGGCAGAAGGGGGAGAGGTTTACAGAAGGCACCGTCACTTGAAGTCTTCCCTGCAATGGGGTGTATGTGGCTTTCTGCTCCTAAGCCTGCTGACTGCTTTCAGAGCTTTTCAGGATCTGTGTGGATTCTGAGATTCAGTCTGCCAGCTAATAAAGTAGCAACTCCTGTCCAAGACAAGGGATTTCATTCCTAACAGTAGGAACAGTTGCCCATAGTGTATGGTAGTTATCATCCTAGAGAAGAGAGACAGGCCAGGAGAAACTGTTTATACCATGTAGAGGACAAGAAGTCGATCACAGCCATCTGTAAGCTAGAGACTAGAAATGCCCACCCAAGTCTGGAAGCCTCAGAACCAGGCAAGCTGTTGGTGTTCCTCAATCCAAGGCCACAGGTCTGAGAACTTAGGGGACCATGTGTACAAGTCCTAGAGTCCCAAGGACACAGAAGTTCGAATTCTATTTGGAGTTATATCATGGTTATATTCTTAATTAATTGTAGAAGGGATGTGTGTACTCCAGAACGTACCATCTACAGAAGAGAGATCAAGTTTCCTTTTCCTCTGCTCCCTTTGCTTGTCCTGGGCCCCCAGCCAGCCAGATGATGCACACCTCCATCTAGGGCAGTCCCTCCACTGCCATGGCAGTGTGTGGATACCCTCACACACACCCAAAGACAGTGCTTTACCTGCTCTCCACTTAACATGACACCTGAAATTCACCATCACATGAGAGTTGGCACTTGCAGAAGGTTCCATCATGGAATGGAACCCAATAGCCAAGAAGCTTTCTACTGGGCTGGGAGCCTGTCTTGTGTGGGAGGAAGACTGAAGTTGTGGCACTTGGCAGTAAGCAGGCCTGCCCTGTCCTGTGGAGGGCCCTATTCTTACCTCCTAAGGTTGCTGCCTTCACAGCCATCACTGAAAAGTAACAGGTTTTCCTGGTCTTTCAATGGGAAGCTGCCATTCATGCTTCTTGTGTTTCCTGTATAGATCATACTGTAGTTCACTAATGTTCATACACCTGGGTTTCATGTTTAGAGTTGAAATGTTCTTCTTGGAGCAAGTGAAAGGAATACAGAGCAGGTCTGAAAGCACTGTGTGTTGCCAGGAAAGCATCAAAGAAGGTGAGTGTTTACAAAATTGTGGCACAAGCAGCAGATAGCAGATTTAATCATCTAAGTTGAACACAGTTTTGCACAGCTGCTGTGTTAATTCTACCAGTTTCCCATGGTTCTGAAAGGAATGGAGTTACTGCCGGGGATTCACTAGAGTTGTTTGTGATGTTCATATATGTTCATATAGTCTAGTATATGTTTGAAGGAGCAGAGGAGCCAACAGTGATGTCATTTTTTTCCAAACACCAAATTCAGAAGCATCATCCTAAAGTAGAGCAGAGCACAGTGAATGGTTTGCAGTGTCTGGTGCTGCAGAGCAGTGAGCTCAAGGGAGAGAGAGCCAGAGTCATCCTGCGGTGTCCAGAGCTCTTTGACTGGCTGGGCACAGCCTTCTATAACGCAGACCTATAGGTATGTACATTTGGGAATCAGGCAGGGCTCTGGCCTGCTGTTTTATTTTGTTAGATATGCATTCCCTAGGATGTGAGTTCACGGTAGTTCCGAATATCTTCTCTGTGTTTGCTTTGTGGTAGAAATAACGAGCCTCATAATTTCGTATCAACTTTCTGCTTTTACCAGCCAAACTCAGTGGTGGCCAGGGCTTGCTTGTGTACAATCACTGGCCTCATCCTTCCAGAGAAGATCTGTGTCCCACTGGAACAGCTGTGGTAAGCACCTTTTTTTACTTTGTTTTGGTGCCATGGTGGCATGCTGAGCACAAGGCAGGCCCCTTTTCTTAATTTGGGATCAAGCATCGAAATGTTATGTTTCATTTGGATTAGTCATCTTTGCTGAGGAATGTGCTAGAGCAAGTCACATTTCCTAATGAGGAGGCAGAGGCTCAGAGCAGACAAGCCTCTTTCTCCTGCTTCTCCAACCTGAGCCATTTTGATGCAATCAAAGTTAGAACATCATTCACAGAGCAGAATTCTGTAGGTTGAATTACATTTAACTTTTAGTACTGGAGTTGTACAAAATGTTTAATTTGAAATGGTGTGGACAGAAATAGGGTAGAAGAGAGTTGATCAGCCGAAACGTACCTAAGATTTGTTCCAGCACTGAAAATCTTTGACTCACTAAGCTCTAACAGTATGCTAAGGGTTGAATAGAGTGGTAGGGGTTTTTTTTTTGTGGGTTTTTGTGGGTTTTTTTTGTCATTGTGGGAGGTTGTGTATAAATAATGTGTGCATTGGATCTAATGTGAGGACAGAATTATCCTGTCTAGTGTTTTCTGTGGTCTTACTTTTAAAATACCTTCATATTAAAGTCTTCAGTGTTCTCCCCCCCCCCCCCGTCTTAGTCACCAGTGCGGTTTGAAGTCATTTTCTTCAGCTTGCCACTTTACCATTTTTGCTCTGCTTCCAGCCCTAATTTTGGCTTGTTCGTGTGAATGGAGTTTTGTCAACTTTTCTGCCAAGGCTGGCTTCAAACTTCATTCCTTCAGATCTTAGCCTTCTGAGTAGCCAGTATTACAAATTTGAGACACTTGTACCTGGGAGGGTTTTACTGTTTTTTTGTTGTTTTTTTTGGGGGGGGTTCAGTGGTGGGGTCTGAACTCTGGGCCTGGGTCCCTCAGCTCTTCAGCTCAGGCTAGCACTCTACCACTTGAGCCACAGCGCCATTTCCACCTTTTTCTGCCTCATGCATGCAAGGCAAGTACTCTAACACTGGCCAACTTCCCAGCCCCCTGGGGGTTTTACTCTTTTGAACCCAATAATCTGGGGTTTTTTTGTTGTTGTTGTTCTTTTTTTTCTTTCTTTTTTTTTTTTTTTTTACTATTTATTAGCTTAGTACTTTGGTTTTCTACAAGAAGGACAATTTTTGACAAACTTGGTGAATTACTCTTTGACATTTCACTAATCAGACTGAAAACATTACTTTTCCTGGGAGGGAACCATCCTTTTATACAGTGTATGGAATTTTGTGATTTGGGTTCTTTTGTCATTGTTGGTTTGTTTTGTGGCACTGAGCCTCAAGCATAGACCTTGCACACACTAGACAAGTGTTAGCTGTACTCCTAACATGGTTCTTTGAGTCTTCAGTGATGTTCCAGAATTAGGGGAGAGCTGTAGCTTTTGTTTTGTGTGTAGTGTGTTGATCTTTATGGAACTTACAATATAGCATCAGGAACCTACTCTGCATCTGCTAGTTTGTATAAGTTAAAGCCAAACTGTAAGATCATTAGAATATCCTGAATAGATTTTTTAAAAATTTAAGTGTGGAAATTCCTCTATCTTCTGTTTTGTTAAGGATGATCTGTCTTTTTCAGTCATTACTTCTATGAGGCAAACCTGGACCCATGGGTTACCTTGTCAGTTCAAGGCTTTGCAGACAGCCCTGTTTCCTGGAGAGAGAATAAGCATGATTTTCACAAAGGAGGTGAACATGTGTACAACTTTGTGATTTTTAATAACCAGGACTATTGTCTTCAGATGGCTGTTCAGACACTCGATAACTGTCCTCCCTGAGCCTTATAAAATTTTAAAATCTGTTGTTTATACTCACTCTTGTTTTCTGGTTTCTTCATTGTGTGTGCATGGGCCTGTGTACTGACGATGCTCCTCAGCTCAGCATTTGCTTGCATTCTGGCCTGCTCAGCTTATCCACATGGCATCAGGTGCATGCTCAGTGACTGGCTCGTCACTCATCCTCTCCGTCACTGCAAGCACAGGCTGTGTTCACTGCGCTGTCATGGCAGCTGGAATGAGGGGACCATTGAGTAAGGGCTGCTGTTGCTCATTGCAGCTTTCATCAAGCAATGAGAAGAAGACCTGTATCACTATTCTCAAGGCCTGTCTCTGTGGTAAGGCTCTTCACTATGAGGAAACTGAGGCACAGCATAGTAAGGAAGCTGCTGAGTTCTCCCTGCTAGTAGAAGAGCCTGGATGTCAGGCCAGCATGGGTCCTCATCAGCTGTGCTCACTGTGTTTATTGCCTCTGGACCAGGGAGGGACCTGTAGGAACTTTGAATTGTTAACCAACAAGTTCCATTTTATTTCTAGCAATGTGGCTGATAGGAAGCCCATGAAAAACAGCTTTCCCAATACACAGGGAAAAAAGATATTTTAAATGTATTCAGAAACTGAAAGTTGAGTTTTCAAAAGGAAAAAAAATCAATGGAAGCCAAAAACCAGAGTAACTAGAAGAATGTGAATTTGGGCTTTGCTTTTCACAGCCTTGGGTGAGGGAGGAGCAGCAGAGAAGCCAAGAAAACTTAGGTCCTGATAAGGTAGAAGAACCAGAAAGGAAACATAAAGTTGAGACTCCCCAAAAGCAAAGGCTTAGCACCAGGGCAAACTGTGAATGGAGCTGTTAGGGTAAGAGATGTCAGAAACGGTAGACACAAATCATTGAGGAAGTTCGTCCTTCTAGTCAACTAGTGAAAATCAATTTCAAAACACATGAAACAAAACAACTCTAAGGAGAAGTACACAGTTGCACAGTATCAGATTTAATGTCTCTCTCTGTAATGGTAGATAGGCAGAAAATCAGCAAAAATATAGCAGACGTGAGCAACACTATCAACCAACATAAACTGATAATTATAGAATATTCTACCCTACAACAGCAGACACCCATCTTTCTCAAGTGCATGTGGAACATGTGATTAGGTCAAACAGGTCTATTCAATAATTTCAGATTTAAGATTCATTGTATTTGATCTCACACACATATATATATATATATATATATATATATACACACACACACATTTATACATATATACACACACACACATTTATACATATATACACACATATATTTATATAATATATATAATTATTTGTATAATTATATATAATATATGTGATTATATATAATTATATAGATTATAGATATGTAATTATATATAATAGATTATATATAGAAATATATACATATAGAATTATATATATAGAATTACATAGAATTATATATAGAATTATTATTGTCAAAATACTGTACAGAGTGGTTACAATTACATGGACAAGGTAATGAGTACATTTCTTATCAAGCATTATTGCCTCCTCCTTTGTTTCCCCTTCCCAACCCTTCCTTTCTCCTCTCTCAGCCCCCAGACCCACCCCTGTCCCGCCCCTGCCAAAGTTGTAAAGTTCATTTTTTGACATAACATCTTGTACATCTCATTGTTGCAATGGGTCCACCTGTATCCCTATTTAAGCAATTTGTTTTTTCCCTTCCCTTCCACAAATTATACCAACATCAAATACAGTGAAAGTAGGGGTTATACCGTAGGGGAGGGACATACAAAGCAGCAAAGAAATAATCTTATAAGTATGTTAGAAACGATCGCAAGAAAGAAAAAACATTTGAATACTTACTTGGGGTTCATTACACCCAACATCAACTTAATTGGCCTTTTCCACTTGTCTCAGACATATACTAGTTATTGCAAATAATGGAAACCATGTATGAGATCTCTTGATAAGAGTAGAACTATATTAAAAATCAGTAACATCCTTGAAAATTTCCAAAATATTTGGTAAGTCTGTACCTTGATAATTCATAGATTAAAGAAGCAGCTAAAAAGAATTAGGAAGGTAACCTGAGTAAAAGTTTTAAAATAACATGCCATTGTAATAATAATATGCACCGTAATAATCAGCACTAAATCAATTGGTGTGTTTGTGTGTATGTGTGTATGTATATGTGTGTGCGTGTGAGTGTGGGTGCATGTTTGCATGTGTGCATGTGTGTGTACATGCCTATGTGCATGCTGGTCCTGAGACTTGAACTCAGGGCCTGGGCACTCTCCTGGATCTTTGTGCTCAAGTCTAGTACACTAAAACTTGAGCCACAGCTCTACTTCCTGCCTTTTGGTGGTTCATTGGAAATAATCTCACAGACTTTCTTTCTAGGGCTGTCTTTGAACTGTGATCCTCAGATCTCATCCTCCTGAGTACCTAGGATTACAAGCATGAGCTACTAAAGTAATTCTGAGGGAAATTTATAGCATTAAATGTCTATCTTAGAAGAGCTCAAAATTAGCCGGGTGCTGGTGGCTCATGGCTGTAATCCTAGCTACTCAGGAGGCTGAGATCTGAGGATCACGGTTCAAAGCCAGCCGGGGCAGGAAATTCTGTGAGACTCTTATCTCCAATAAACCACTAGAAAAAGACTCACAAACCCCAGTTCTTTAAATATTCTAGACACAGATCCTCAATGACATATGTAAGTTTGACCATTTTCTATGCCTTAGTTCCATATCTTGTTTCCCTTTTCTTCACCAGTTTTGTGGTTTTGTCTTATTTCAGAAGCCTTGAACATTGTGGTCAGAATTGCTTAATTTTATTGCTATCTGATCATAATTCTTCAACCTGGTCTTTAAACAATATATTTGTTTCTGCTTGATATGCTATTGTTGATGCATCCCATGAGGTGTTTGTTGACCTTTTCATTTCCAGAATTTCTTCTCCATCTCCCTGATATCCTGAGCCTCTAACTACACACTCTGTCCACCGCTCCATCTCTTCCACCTACACTGCCTCATTGGTCCTCAGGCAGGGCTACCAGAAGTCTAGGTACTTGCCCAGATCCTTAAAGAGTCTATTTCCTTGGTCTCACTTGGCCAGGACATTCAGGGGATTCTAATTCCGAACAGAGATTGATGCCCCCACCCCACTCATGAGCAGGATCGATTTTCATCTTGTGTGGCAGGTGGATGCAGGTGGTAGTGTGAAAGGCACTTTCTTCCTGGGTGAGTGAAGATGCATGCAATGTCAGAGATCCACTCTGCTCTTAAGTTTTGGGCTGCCTGTGAGGATCCTCCAGTGACTGCCTGGCCAAGCCACTCTCCAACTGTCCAGAGGGCAGGGCTGTCTAGGCATTTTCTGAACCCAATGGGAAAAGCACCCAGTTTGGCATTGAGGAATTGTGTCATGAGGGAACACTGGTAGAATGGGACCGGGGGGAGGAAGAGAGTCCCTTGATGTATGTAGCCTTTTTAAGTCACCTCCTAGGCCGTGGAAGAAGCCCTGACGTGTGTTGCTCTACAGAGACCAGAGTCTAACGTGGCCCCACCACACCAGGACATGGCCCAGCAAGGACAGGTTTGTCACAGGACCTTCTTGCATTAGAGAAGTTTTTTGACTACTTTGGCCTAAGTATTCATATTTCTTTAGGCTGTTTCCTTATTCCTTCCAGCTTGTCAGACCTACAGCAGATCCTCTACAAGAAACCCATTCTCTAATCTCATCCTCTAAAACTCTCCAAGTTTATAACTGTACATATTAGACCAAATAAGTAGGGGGTGGATTTTCTGTCAGACATAGATTGAAACTGAAAGATATCTTTGAAGTAGCCTTTGACAAGGTTCTGATTTGGACAGTCTGGTGTTGATAAGTCCTGGGTCTGTGACCAGCATTCTGGTCTAATTCTGAGGTGACACTGGGAGAGAACTGGTGATAGGACATCACAGTGGTCTCACTGTGATTTCAAACTCTTGGCAGGTACATCTCCGTTCATGGATGCACTAACAGCCAATGGAATAACCAACATACAGACGTCTGTTACAGGAGTGACGGCTGGGAAAAGATACAGAGATATTGTTGTCAGGAAGCAAGATGGCTTCACCCACATCTTGTTATCCACAGAATCATCTGAGAATAACTCTAAACCCAGAAGTGAGAGATGCGCCTTGCTGTGTACTTTGTGCTTCTCCATGCCTGCTCTGCTTAATGGGTCTTTATACTCTTCTGAAACCTCCTGGGCTGGTCCACAATGTCCCCAGGAGGTGGGAAGCAGAGGGGACTTGGCAGCTTGGCAGCTAATCACTCTGGCTGCACTGACATGGGGCAGTAGGCATGTGCTGGGCATCTGCTCCATTCTACTGGTGTGGGCTCCAGTGGGAACTTTGGCTCTTACCAGGAGGAAGCAGCAGTGCCTCTGTGCTCAGGCCACCTCCCAGGTTGGAGCTCTTCATCTGCAGGGGCTGCGGCTTTGCCATAGCTCTCACCTTGACAGGTTTCTTGTTTGTACAAAATAACAATGACTGGGTTCTGTCCTGTGAGGAGTTTCCCTGCCATCTTAGAACACTGATGGTCTTAGGGTTGTGGCAGGGCACACGGCAAGGGGCTTTCTACGCATACTCATTGTCTAGTACCTCAAAAGGCAGCTTGCAAAGGCCAGGGAGGTTGTTGTTTAGGAGATTGTTGTTCAAAAGCCAGTGCACTGGGACTTGCACTGGGACTCACCAAAGTTTTAAGTTCTAATGTTGTTTATTTTCCTTTGTACACAGCTGGAGCAGATTGTTTTCCAGAAAAGGAAAGCAACGGACAGAAGGTCTGTGTGTTAGCCTTGCTCACCCAGAGCAAGCAGTTCAGGGCTTGATTCTTGATACATTTCTAGACTTCTGTCCCTTTACTTGTGATTTTTTTCATGTTTCCAAGATCATTTTAAATGATTTAGTGCCCTCTCACACTTTTCCATCATGGGTTTTCACTTTCATTTAGGTATCTGTCCAAAGTTAAAAAAAAAAAAAAAAAGATGTGACTGGACTCACTTTTTTAAAAGTGGTTGAATATGCCACCTGCTGTTCAAACTGTAGAAATACCCAGTCCTGGTAACCTAAAGAGTCAAAAAGGCTTTCCAGTAATGGAGATGCATGGATCTTTCTTTTCTATGCTGTTCTTGATGCTACATAGTTACAGGGTATTCTGTGCCCAGCACCTCTGCTTCCAGAAAATAAGCAATGTGCAGACTGGGCAAAGCAAAGCACATCAGACTAGGGATGCATTTTCTATAGTCTTGGTTGTCGAATAGTAAAACGGTTATAGTAGTCTGTTCCCAAAGTGCTCCTTCTCACTGGAACTTGTAATGACTTCCAGGTGATGAAAGAAGTCCAGAGTGCCCTGAACATGACCACTACAGACAGCAAGCTGGTGCTGCTCAACGCAATGGACAGCTCTTCTGTTGTGGCCAGGACTTCATTTACTTCATAGGGTGTCTCACGGATGACAGGAAGAGAGAAAGGACCAAGATGTCAGATGCAATCAGGTATGCAGAGCCAGTGTTTGTGTCAGGGCTAGGGTTGGTTTTCCAAGTACTAGCTCTGAACAGGACAGTCCTGCAAGGCTTCACGGACTGTCATTTTCCTCTGAAAGGCACTGGTAGCAGAGTTAATGAACTCATCTGCCTTTTCTATAGGTCTGACATAAATGACTCCTTTTCAGAGGCAAATAACTGATTTTAAAGCTGACACCCAGCACATGCTCAGGCATGTTGGCTAAGAGTGCTCTACAGATAATGTACAGCTGTCTGGTACTTGTGCTGTACCTGCTGACCTCAATCCTGAAGTAGAAATGCATTCCCTACCAAATAGTAATTGCTATTGCTGAGCTCTAAAATAAACTGGGTAGACTTTGTGATAATTACTCTAGATCACGTGAGAAATTTTTATTTTTTATTACATCCAGTACAATTTCTTCAAGTTCAGCCTAGCAACTACAGAGAGAACTTGAAGATATGCAATAGAAAACGAATGAACATCCCCCTACTCTTATTCATCAGCCAGTGAACCTAGTGTTCACTTCTCCTATCTTCCCCAAGTTCTAAGTATTTCTTTATGATGATGATGAGGAGGAGGAGGAAGAGCAGGAGGAGGAGGAGGATAATCATGATGATGATGTCAGTCTTGGGGCCTAAACTCTGGGCCTGGGCACTGTCCCTCAGCTCTTCAGCTCAAGCTACCACTTGAGCCACAGCTCCCTTCCAGCTTTCTCTGCTTATGTGGTGCTAAGAAATCAAACCCAGGGCCTCATTCATGCAAGTCAAGCACTCTACCACTGTGCCACCTTCCCAGCCCCTAAGTATTTTTTATAAGACAGGAAAGAATCCATACACTTACCACATATATACAATCTGTTTCAAGAGCTGTATATATTGTATAGTTATCTAAATCAAGCAAATGAACACATATCTGTTTTTGTTTGTTTTTGATAGTACTAGGATTTGAGTGTACTCAAAGCCTCATAATGGCTAAGCAAGCTATCACTTGATCCACATTTCCAGTATTTAAGTATGAATACTTAAATACTTTTTGAGCTTTCCTGTTCCCTCACCTATACCTCTCACATAGCTGGGATTATAAGCATGAACCACCAAGCCAGAAGTCTTTGTTGAGATAAGGTCTTCTTGCTAACACTTTGCCTAGACTAGCCTTGGACCTCAGTCTTCCCCATCTCTGCTTCCAGAATAGCATGCCTATGGTTTGAAATGTTATAATTCCAATATTATTCTGGGGTCTCTAATTTCAGTTTTGTGGTGTGGTACTAGAAGGAACTGCCTTCTTCCTTGACTTGAAATAAAAGCCTTGATCAGTGGACAGAATTTTGCTGTAGACAATTAGAAAATCATGTCTCTGTGTGTGTATGTGTGTGTGTGTGTGTCTGTGTGGAACTGCTCATTGTTAAACCAGGATGAATTACATGAATTTAAGCCTCATGTTTTACACACACACACACACACACACACTCACACACACCATTGTCTTCTGTGGTGACGTTGTACATCTTCCGTGAGACCACCTGAGTCCTCTCCTGAGCCTCTTGGAGCTTCTCTCACCAATCTTGCTGCTCTTCAGCCTGCTCCTCCCTCCAGTGTCCAGTCACTGACCTGGACAGTGCTGAGGCTTGTCCGACTGGGATAAGAAAAAGAGAAAAGATAGATCCAGACATTGAAGTAGAGAGCTCATCTCGTGCACTTTGAGCTGACTTTATAGATGCTTGTTTTCATCAGCTCCTCACTCCTGTTTCTCCTCCCAGCCTCCCACTTTCCTGCTCTTCTGGTTCTGCACTGTCACGTCCGTCTCGACCAGCAAGAAAGACGCAACACCGAGCTCTTCTCTCAGCAGTTTATTCGGGACCTTTGAGCATTCTTCTGACCCTGTGGAGAATCCCACACAACCTTAAGTACCCGCTGGGTAACCAACCCTGATATGCCACGTGGGAGCCATCAATAGGTCCAGGTACGTGGAAGCAAGCCAGATTCTATGCCTTAGCCAAATAAGGAGTTGTTTACCACAGAGACCGCTCACCATCAGGAAGGCAGAGGGCGGAAGCCGGCGCCATCTTTAAGGTGCGGCTGCACGCAGCTCTCTACAGTTCCCCCTTTTTTATATTGCAACAGGCAAGAGTAGAGGTCTGATCTCTGTTGAAGAAATTTGGGACATTGTACTGATCCTCACTCAGGTGTTATCTACCCAATGATTACCAGACCCGTCTTGATACCCTTTTTCACAGAGGTGGGACTTAGAGCATCAACCCACATGCAATCAGACATGCTCTTCTTGGGGCCCACGACCTCGGTGGACCTCAAGTGCAGTGCTCGAGCCTCGCATCCTGTGCTCAAAAAGGGCTAGTCTTTCAGAGTGGCAAGCCATGCATGGGGGGGACTGTCCTGCTTCAATGGCTGTAAAGGCTTGGATAATCATGGCTGCACTGCGATGCTGAGAACCTCTAATTTGGCAAATGCACCACAGACATACCAAGGAGGCTAATACCAGGAGGCCTGTCAGGGCTCCCAAACCCACCCACTCCTTAAGATGATTCATGGCAGCGGAGATCCATGAAGATAACCCCTCCGCCAATCCGGCATCCACTCAGGTCGAGTTCACCGTGACGATGGCAACCCTGAGCTGTTCCATCAGGCTGTCGAACTCCCCAGTTCAATTACCTAAAAGCTAACTAGACAACTGTTTAGACAAATTTGCAGCATAAGTGTAATTTTCGTATTGAATGCTGGTCACACATAAACCAGCATATTTCCATTGACAGCCAAGCTGGGCAATTTGCCAGAGAATATCAATTTGTTCTTGAACCAGATCAATCCTCTGGTTGACTACCATTAAACCTCCTTTTAACTGAGCATTAATGCCCTTTTGTACATCTAAGGCCTGTGCCACATTAGCAGAAAGGTTGTTTAGGGTTTGAGCCGTCTGTACAGTGTGACTCAGGGCAACGGCCGCGGTGGTCGCTCCGACCGCCGCCAAGGAGATGGCAGTAACAATGGCGGCTGTTGTCCCTTTCCTGTTTCTATCACTTTTCCCTTTTCAGGGCAATTACACTTTATGTGTCCCATCTTGCCGCATCTAAAGCATGCACCTGAGCCTCCCCCTTTCTTCTGGGTTAATTGCACCACAGCAGCAGCTAATCCAGCATTAGTTAGTGGTCCACCCAGCTCTCTGCAAACTTTCATCCATGCTTCTAATCCCTTATTTTTATATGGGGTAATAGCGGCCTTGCATTCCTTAGTGCATTGCTCATAAACAAGCTGTTTAATTAATGGCATGGCTGTGTCTGGGTCACCAAAAATTCTGCCAGCGGCCTCAACCATACGGGCAACAAAGTCCGAAAACGGCTCCGTAGAGCCCTGCAAGATTTTGGTGAGATTGCCACTCACCTCGCCTTTGTTTGGTAGGGCCTTCCATGCCTTAATGCCAATTTTATTGATTTGTTCATAAACTTGAACCGGGTAGCCTGTCTGCTGATTGGCGAATCTCCCCTGTCCAAGCAGCATATCTCTGTCCCAAGCTGGGTTTCCCACAGCTTGATTGGCTGCAGCCTCCTCACTAGCAAATTCAATCAAAAAAGCCCTCCAATCTAGATACTGACCTGGGCTCAAACAAGCTCGTGCAAGCCCACTCCAATCATTGGGCATCATGCAGTGCCTGCTTAGAGCCTCTACCTGGGCTACAGTAAAGGAGGCTGTGATCCTGTAGGTCCACACAGACTCAGCTAAAGATTTTATCACCTTAAAATCTAAAGGTTCATGATACCGCTATCCCTGTGGATCCTGAAATATTGGACAGGCTAGATGTAACTCGGTTCTGACTGCTTTCCACTCGTCTGGGCTGAAGGAACAGCCAGAGCTGCTACTTCTGGGGCCCTCTGCATAGGGCAGAGGGGCCGAGGGGGCGGTGCGGCGCATGGATGGTGTGCATTCATCTTTATCTGGGTTCTCTCTCTCCTTCCCTTTCCTCCTCTTTCTTATTTTTGTTTTCTCTATTTGTTCTATGATTGATTGTAGTTCCTCTGAGTCGGTAGACTCAGAGGTCTCTAGTTCAGCAAGATCGGGGTATAATCTCCCCCTGCTCTTCCCCTTTTCACTGCCTGCCTGTTCTGATCTTTCTTCCTGCAGCATCTCTAGGGCAGCCTGACCATTCTGTACCACCTCACTACAGCGCTGGTCCTCAAGACAGCCTCTTATCAGTTTCCATATTGGTCTCACTCCGCTCTTAAGCATTCCTTGTTCAGAGGCAAAATCTAGGTCCCTCCCTAGTTTCTCCCAAGAGGCCACCGTGAGGCTTCCGGAGACAGCGAACCACGGGGCAACGATGTCACATTCATCCAAAAATCTTTCTAAAGTACTCCTTTTTATTTTTAACTTCTTTGAGTGCAGCAGCTCATTGAGAGCCAAAAAAATTGGGTGCAAAGAAGAAGCGCCCATGTCTTAAAATTTTTAAAACTGGCAAACAATCTTTTACTTTCACTTTTGGCTACTCTATTGACTAGCCCCGGGTTCCTGCTCTCTCTTTATCTACAGAGAAGAGCAAAAATCCCCCCGCTCTTGTCGAGGATTCTCACTTTACCTGGGAACTTACCGGTGCACCACCCTGACCGCAGAGAGTTCTGAGTCCTTGTTGAGGTTATGGCTGAGGTTCCCCATACGGGCCACCACTTGTCGTGTCCGTCTCGACCAGCAAGAAAGACGCAACACCGAGCTCTTTTCTCAGCAGTTTATTCAGGACCTTTGAGCATTCTTCTGACCCCGTGGAGAATCCCACACAACCTTAAGTACCCGCTGGGTAACCAACCCTGATAT